ATCCATTCCAACCACAGGTTAAGATCTCTATACCCCGTCTCCACCTGTACTACTTCCTTCAGGTCTATAGTTTGCACTATCTTCACCACAGCCCCGGTCTCACTACCTCCCTCAGAGAGGTTTACTCTATAGGGTGCCCCAGTTGAAGACGATATCTCACTTGTCAGGTCTGTAACCTGTTTTAGCGTAATTCAGACTTTCAGACAGTACCTACCTTTATATGGGTCGCACTGCCATTTCTGATAATTCCCTACTTTCACAATACTACACCTGTCCTGAAACTATGTATGGAGATTGACATATCCCCCCCCCCCCCCCCCCCCCCCCATTAATAAAGAAATAAATACTTATTTCCCTCATTAAAATGCTAATCAATTTATAACATTTTTGACATGCGTTTTTCTGTATTTTTTTGTTGTTATTCTGTCTCTCACTGCTCAAATAAACCTACTATTAAAATTATAGACTGATCATTTCTTTGTCAGTGGGCAAACGTACAAAATCAGCAGGGGATCAAATACTTTTTTCCCTCACTGTATATATATATGTATGTATATGCGTAAATGTATGTATGTGTATGTATGTGTATATATATATATATATATATATACAGTGGGGAAAAAAAGTATTTAGTCAGCCACCAATTGTGCAAGTTCTCCCACTTAAAAAGATGAGAGAGGCCTGTAATTTTCATCATAGGTACACGTCAACTATGACAGACAAATTGAGGAAAAAAAATCCAGATAATCACATTGTAGGATTTATTATGAATTTATTTGCAAATTATGGTGGAAAATAAGTATTTGGTCACCTACAAACAAGCAAGATTTCTGGCTCTCACAGACCTGTAACTTCTTCTTTAAGAGGCTCCTCTGTCCTCCACTCAATACCTGTATTAATGGCACCTGTTTGAACTTGTTATCAGTATAAAAGACACCTGTCCACAACCTCAAACAGTCACACTCCAAACTCCACTATGGCCAAGACCAAAGAGCTGTCAAAGGACACCAGAAACAAAATTGTAGACCTGCACCAGGCTGGGAAGACTGAATCTGCAATAGGTAAGCAGCTTGGTTTGAATAAATCAACTGTGGGAGCAATTATTAGGAAATGGAAGACATACAAGACCACTGATAATCTCCCTCGATCTGGGGCTCCACGCAAGATCTCACCCCGTGGGGTCAAAATGATCACAAGAACGGTGAGCAAAAATCCCAGAACCACACGGGGGGACCTAGTGAATGACCTGCAGAGAGCTGGGACCAAAGTAACAAAGCCTACCATCAGTAACACACTACGCCGCCAGGGACTCAAATCCTGCAGTGCAAGACGTGTCCCCCTGCTTAAGCCAGTACATGTCCAGGCCCGTCTGAAGTTTGCTAGAGTGCATTTGGATGATCCAGAAGAGGATTGGGAGAATGTCATATGGTCAGATGAAACCAAAATATAACTTTTTGGTAAAAACTCAACTCATCGTGTTTGGAGGACAAAGAATGCTGAGTTGCATCCAACGAACACCATACCTACTGTGAAGCATGGGGGTGGAAACATCATGCTTTGGGGCTGTTTTTCTGCAAAGGGACCAGGACGACTGATCCGTGTAAAGGAAAGAATGAATGGTGCCATGTATCGTGAGATTTTGAGTGAAAACCTCCTTCCATCAGCAAGGGCATTGAAGATGAAACGTGGCTGGGTCTTTCAGCATGACAATGATCCCAAACACACCGCCCGGGCAACGAAGGAGTGGCTTCGTAAGAAGCATTTCAAGGTCCTGGAGTGGCCTAGCCAGTCTCCAGATCTCAACCCCATAGAAAATCTTTGGAGGGAGTTGAAAGTCTGTGTTGCCCAGCGACAGCCCCAAAACATCACTGCTCTAGAGGAGATCTGCATGGAGGAATGGGCCAAAATACCAGCAACAGTGTGTGAAAACCTTGTGAAGACTTACAGAAAACGTTTGACCTGTGTCATTGCCAACAAAGGGCATATGACATAAGTATTGAGAAACTTTTGTTATTGACCAAATACTTATTTTCCACCATAATTTGCTAATAAATTCATAAAAAATCCTACAATGTGATTTTCTGGAGAAAAAAAATCTAATTTTGTCTGTCATAGTTGACGTGTACCTATGATGAAAATTACAGGCCTCTCTCATCTTTTTAAGTGGGAGAACTTGCACAATTGGTGGCTGACTAAATACTTTTTTTCCCCACTGTATATATATATATATATATATATATATATATATATATATATATATATATATATATATATATATGCGAGAAAAAAGAAAGAAAACATATGGGGAATTGGAAGTGATGCAGACAATTACATTGATGGAAGTTAGAATCTATCTGCAATATTAAAGCTGATCTACCCCCTATTTATGTATTACATTATGCGCAAAAACAGTATGTTAGGTGTTCAGCATCTTTATTACATTATTGGCAATTTATCACATTATCAGCATTTATTACATTATAAATGCAAAAGTTACAAAAGTTACATCCCGGACGCTTACATTGCTAAACTCTTGTTAATTTTTTATTTATTTATTCTTGGAATTATTTGTGTATTAGTAATGTACTGTTACTGCACTGCTGGAGCTAGAAACAAAAGCATTTCACTGCACCTGATTTAACATCTGCTAATCTCTATACACAACAAATACACTTTAATTTGATCTTGGCAGTTATTACATTATCAGTTGCTGAATGATAGAATTTGGACATGGAAGTGTGTGAAAAATAAAAAAGGTTGCAATTGACCACAAGAAGAACCCCTTTACCTCCCTCCTCCCTCCTCCCACAATCCCAAACCTCCCCAGCTCCCACCCGCCAGGAAGATAGTGAGACCTCTCCTAGCTGTCCCACCCATCCCACCCACCCCCCAGTATTGAATCACCACAGATTCATTTGCACATTATAGCACTGAGTTGAATAAAACAATTGCAAAACGTACAATATATTTCCAATTTGCAAAATGTATGACATTTTACAAATTCTAGCTAGTAGGAGTTAGGGTTAGGGGTTAGGGTTAAGGTTAGGAGTTTGATTAAAGGGTTAAGGTTAGGGTTAGGGGAAGGGTTAGCTAAAAGGGTTAATGTTAGGGTTAGGGTAAGGGTTAGCTAACATGCTAAGTTGCAAAGTAGCTAAAAAGTAGTAAGTAGTTGAAAAGTTGCTAATTAGGTACAATGCTAAAGTTCTCTGTGATGAGATTAGAAACTCGCAACCTTTGAGTTGCTAGAAGTTGGCGTTATACGCCCACCCATCCAACCACCCTACTTTCGTTTTTGCCTTAAGGTACCATCTGTCTTTTGTAACCACAACAAACGTAACATATGATACTAATTTGAGTCTCCTGGATTTACGTGTACTATGTTACATCTAGTCTATGAGACCAGGTTGCTGTGCTTGGCATTATTCATGCAAACTTCCTTGTCTCCCAAGATATTTGTATTCGAAGTATTCATAAGTCTTATAAGCTATTTAAAGACTACAAAGAATATTGAATGAAAAGCCCATGGTTCTGTGTAGTGTGTGTGTGTGTGTGTTTGTATGTAGAGAGAGCGAGAGAGAGGGGGAGAGAGATGAGGAGAGATATGATGAGAGAGAGAGAGAGAGAGAGAGAGAGAGAGAGAGAGAGAGAGAGAGAGAGAGAGAGAGAGAGAGAGAGAGAGAGAGAGAGAGAGAGAGAGAGGTGTGAACTATGAAGGTTCCACCTCAACACGTCACTCGCCCAGTGCCTGGAGGAGCTGTCCCTGGTGCTGAAATCATGCGGCTGCATGTCCAGTTCAAAGAGTGCTCATATTCGGTGTTTTACTAGGCACATGTCAGTATACATTCATGTATTTACAGTTACAATATCAAATACGTTTTCAAGTCATGAATGTATTAACATTGTGGGTACAATCAATGGCGAATATAGTCTATGCAATAGGCCAATAATTTAACAAAAGGCTCTGTAACTTTTCTTATGCTTGTGCCTCCACTACACATCAAAAGACAAAACGTTGTTATAGGCACATGGAAAAACAATCCAGTATTTTCGGATCACAATACCATTTAAAAAAAAATTGACTTCCAATTATTTGCAACACGGGAATATGAGTCATGCCAATGCATTGCCTGACACACCAAAACAAACGTTTTAAGCCCAAAATGTTAACGTAACAGTACAATTTAAGAAGTGGAAGAGGTGGGCAAGGATACCCATATGTGATTGATTTCTTCTGCATGTTTGGATGATGTAATGACGTGTCCAGAAGCACAGGTTATTATGATAAAGCTTTGCGGCAGGGACCACTATCTGCCAGTTACCTGGGGGCTCCCGGCTTCCGCATTCAGCCTCCCTTATAACGAACCTTTATTTCGTGAGTCTCATCCATTAAAAGCCTATAGTCTATAAGTGTCAGGTTTTTTGTAGGATGGCACACATGACAAGCTGTATTAGCCAATGCCTTGCCCGTCAAAAATGCTAGCAACCCCGACTTCTCCATGCTGAACTTTGGCTGCCATATGCCTCTTCGATTTGGAGTGCTGTCATAAGAATACGTCATACGCCACCTCGCACTTGCTGAACTCTTTGCTGCAGCGGTCAAGAGCAATTATTGAACATGTAATCGTGAAGTTCGTCAACGCTGTTGGAGCTCCGACTCCTCCTGCGTTTTGTTGTTTAAAAAAGGACAGGCGTGGACTGTGGTGCAACGAGCAATAGTGGGTGTGCGCTGTGCTGGTATTCCTACTAGAGGCAGCTGCGGGGAGAGGAGAGCTCATAATTACCTTTTTACCCGGGTGTGCACCTCGCTCTCACTGACAAGAGCAAAATAAGACACGGATGATGTGTTTTTACTCCCTACCGTTCTCCATTCTCTCTCGGTTAAAAACAAAGGATTCCATAGAAAGGGCGTTGAAAGATTTTACATAAAGACAAGGCTTTTTTCTTTCCAGTCAGTTTTTTTCGGCAAGGGTTTGGTCCATTGTGGAAAACCGAAAATCAAGATGAAATTTCCCACGGAGAACCCAAGAAAACCAGGGAATCCTAACCCTACGCCAGGTTTGTATTCGAACGTTTGGAACGTTTGTCGGTAATCAATGAAAGCAGATCGATTGAGTTAAATGCTTCCAATATTAACGTAACAGTCTATTATAGGTTATTTCGCTTAATTGTATATACTTGAAGTAACCTTTATATAATTGGACCATAGGTGAAGTTTGAAATGTATTGATAAACATACATTGATGTTATTGACATAGGCTAAGTTAATTTATAACTGCAGTGATTGAGTGCAACACACACATGAGCATGCATTGCATGACCACTATCCAACGAGGAATGGCGCATACCACAACTGTTTTCCCTATTATGAATAAAGCCTACCTATAATCCCACGTAGAGCCACATGTTGGCTATGGCTCTGATCCCACCCCTAAAGAATGTAATACATTTATTGTTGATGTAGATACTACATTTGGTGGGCACTGATGTGTCTAGGGAAACTGTGCCTGCAATCCACCAAAGCAGCATACATCTTTGTCCAGATAGATAAAGTAGGAGCCATGGAGAGGGATAAGGCTACCTGCCATCTTAATGAGCTTTATGCATTCTTCTTGATTTAGAGAGTGCATGGCTGTTTTGGTGATTGACGTTCCCATCAGATTAGGTCCAGGGATAGGCACGACTCCTTGCATCTAGCCTACCTCATGCTGGTAGCATGTTTCCTATTGGTATTTTATGTATAAATATATGTTAACACAATTTAGCCACTAATAAAGGTCTGATTCCTCGTTTATGTTATTTTTAAGGGAAATTGACAATGGCCGCACTCTAGTCTAAAACATGTCTGTTGAGGTGAAGGCTAAATGGCCAATGTGAACTGTCAGTCGGTAATATAATGTCATAAAGGAGCACTTTGTATGTTACAGCTGCTGCAGCATAGTGATGCATTGAGAGCTGGGGTAAAAACACATTGCCTCATCGGATTTAGGTAGAGCTGTAGCTCTGCATGGGTAGTTCCCGCCAATCCTGCATGCATGGCAGGTCAATGCGGCTGCCCTATTCTCGCGCACGATCACATGTTTACCCAGCCGCCTCTCTAGCCACCAGTGCAGCAGGTGACTATACGTTTTCATCGGTATGACCTTCTGGGAGAAATGTCAACCGTGTTTTATGGTCTACATGCAGCCAGCAAAGTGTTGCTCATCAAAATTCATTGCGCCTGCCAGACCAGTGTAGTGAATGTTTTTCCTCACAGTGTGGTTGAATGGTTACATAAATCACCAGCACTAATTAATTATATTTGTTTTCATAATCAAAACCTAGTATACTTTGTACAATGGTTAGGTACATGAGATGTGCCAGAACTGTGACGATTCTTAATATTACATCATGTAATATTGAAAGTAAGCACCTTGAAGGTATAAGCATGAAATAGAAGCAATGCAGCTGAAAAACATATTTGGATGCTTTGGCTATGAATTGTGGATGTTTATAACTACAAAGGCATATCACAAGAGGACAAACAGAAAATCAACTCCTGGTTTTTCTTTCAAATATCATTCAGACAGTACAGCATTAGGAAATTGTTTATCAACCAAGGATGTATTCATATATAAAGGCTCACTTTTTAATCCATAAAAAATTGCATTCTCAGCCTGTTCTTGGGGCTGCCAGCCATACCAGGCCAGAGTATGTGAATCCGCTGGCTGATGGAGTGTGCTGATGGAAAACTCCATGCCACTGCTCTGAGATGCCTGCTCATAAAAATTGTATCCAAGAGGTCATCTGACTCTGGAGAAGCAGATAAAGGGCCTCATTGCCAAAATCGCGAAGTATCCCTTCAACCATAATGGGTTTTCAGAAAGCCCACAGAACACATTAGAGATTCTCTCTCTCTCTCTCTCTCGCTCTCTCGCTCTCTCGCTCTCTCTCTCTCTCTCTCTCTCTGTCTGCCACCCTGTGCTGCTCAAACCTTAAGCATCAAGACACACTCCATTACTATTTCATTGTCATACTCCTGGGGCTGACAGACGGAAATAAATTATAAGCCCAAACTGCCCAAAAACATCAAGCCCAGTTCCATGTGGTAGTCGTACCCAGACAATATATTCAACTTATTTACATGCTGTAGGGTGGTAGGGTTCTGTTTTATCCCACCCCTTTGCTTACATCTGGATTGTGCAGTATATGACTACACATTCACTTTTCCTATATTGCAGCACCTAACAATAATGTTTCATCATGTTTTTCTCTGCAGTGGCGGTCCAGACCAAACTGTTCCCCCCCAAGAAGGTCCAGTCAGGTATGATGAGTGCCAGCCTGGTCCAGGCCAGTGTGGCCACCATGCAGAACCCCATGGGCTGCACCGTGCCCCGGCTCTCTCCATCGCGACCTGCCAGCATGGTGGCCAGCATGGAGGCGGTGGGCGAGGATGGCTCACCCCTGTTCACGGTCATGAAGTGGAAGACCGTGGTAGCGGTGTTCGTGGTGGTGGTTGCCTATCTGGTGGGGGGAGGCCTGATGTTCCGGGCGCTGGAGCAGCCCTTCGAGAGCAACCAGAAGGTGACCATCACCGCGGAGAAGGCGGCGTTCCTGCAGAAGCACCCCTGTGTCTCACCGGCGGAGCTGGAGGTGCTTATCAAGGTAAGGAAAGACAGCAGCAGCCACTAGGTCAGTATGTAGTCAATACTGGAGCTCTCCTGGCTCCTCCAGCTCTGTCTGGGGTCCCTAGTGGGGACTCAGGTCTACTGAAACTTGAACTCCGTATCGATCCAATGCTATTTAAGCCCCACACACACATTCACTATACAGTAGCCTGTAACACTGCCAGCCATCCTGAAATTGGATACGAACCACAATAAACAGGGTAGTATATAAACATAACTATAGAGTCTAGCTGTGTGTCAGATTGAATTGAAGGCGACCACTGACCACCACGTTGTGGGTGACTGTGTACGGCACTGTGATTGATAAACAGGATACATGTGTGTTATTTTGACCAGCATGCCCAGCAGCCTGAGTGCCAGCATGTGACGTCTTTCAGGCCTTGGCTGCCACTGCCAAACTCTCCTCACTGTGATGCCTAAGACACACGTTATTGCTAGCGCCTCACAGGGAATATGGTTGGCATAACAATGGCTCAGAGACGCGACTGAGGAGAGGTGGAGAATAGAGATCAGAATGGACAAATGCCAATTCCTATGGATGTGTAACAGAGGTGGTTTGGAGAACCACGCTTTATTGAAAATAACCCTGAATCTTAATCTTGAAGATTTGTGCTATCTCCCTTACTGAATGCCTAGGTTTTAGCTCAGGAGGCTAACACAGTATTGTGGCACACCGGAGGCTTAGTTTTGAACCCCGGTCTGTCACAAATGCATGGCAATATTTGTAAAAAAAAAATATTTTACCCCCTTTTTCGTGATATCCAATTGCGATCTTGTCTCATTCCCAAAGGGCTTGGGAGAGGCATGCATCCTCCGAAACATGACCCGCCAAACCGTGCTTCTTAACACACAAAGGAACCTAAAGACTCTCAGACCATGAGAAACAAGATTCTCTGGTCTGATGAACCCAAGACTGAACTCTTTTGCCTGAATGCCAATCGTCACGTCTGGAGGAAACCTGGCACCATCCCTACGGTGAAGCATGGTGGTGGCAGCATCATGCTGTGGGGATGTTTTTAAGTGGCAGGGACTGGGAGACTAGTCAGGATCGAGGGAAAAATGAACGGAGCAAAATCCAGAGAGATCCTTGATGAAAACCTGTTCCAGAGCGCTCAGGAACTCAGACTGGGGTGAAGGTTTACCTTCCAACAGGACAACAACCCAAAGCACACAGCCAAGACAATGCAGGAGTGGCTTCTGGACAAGTCTCTGAATGTCCTTGAGTGGCCCAGCCAGAGCCCGGACTTGAACCCGATCGAACATCTCTGGAGAGACCTGAAAATAGCTGTGCAGCAACGCTCTCCATCCAACCTGACAGAGCTTGAGAGGATCTGCAGAGAAGAATGGGAGAAACTCCCAAATACAGGTGTGCCAAGCTTGTAGCGTCATACCCAAGAAGACTTGAGGCTGTAATTGCTGCCAAACGTGCTTCAACAAAGTACTGTGTAAAGGGTCTGAATACTTATGTAAATGTGATATTTCCATTTTAATTTTTAATACATCTGCAAAAATTGTATCCCTTTTACATTAAGTAATTCTATAGATTTCCTTATTTAGATTCACCTTGATCAATTTGACTTGCAAGGGTATGCCTGTCACGGATTCAGCCGAGGCTGCTCCTCCTCCCTGCTCGGGCAGGCTTCGGCGTTCGTCGTCCCCGGAGTACTAGCTGCCACCGATCTATGTTTCGGTGTTTGACTTGTTGTGTCTGATTGTGTACACCTGTTCCCCATTATGTTGTATTGTATTCCCTATTTAACCCTCCGTCGTGCATTGTGTGTTGTGTGTTATTGTTTTGTGTCATCGACAGTGTACCGGTTGTTAGTTTTCTCCGTTGTTTGGAGACTGTTTATTTCACTGGCGACTTTTATTAAAGTACGATTTCCAGTAGCTCCGTGTCCTGCGTGTGACTTCGCCTACCACATTTCACTGTCGCCGTTTCTGACAATGCCTGCCATTTCTTTGAGTCCTACTCCCTTTTAGTCGATATTGAAACAAACTTCTCGGACCCAGCTCAAGATAGCTTCCAGAAAACAATCGTTGCTACAATCTAAGGTTTCACCTCCTGAAAAAGAAAAACAGGAAATAAATTAATCTGGATAGGAGGAACATCATAAACTGTGCTTTATTTGATTTGTACTGTAGTACTCTCACTTCTGCAAGGATCATCAGGGTTTTCAGGGCCAAATGCTTCCAGCTCCTCATAAAACAGCCAGAGTAACACTCAAGAGTTTGGATCAGCCAGATATTGACCACTCAGCCGTGAAACCCTGGATGATAATGGACAGGATAATGTAAGCAAATGCAGGCCACAGTCCCACCGGTGTAGGGAAACCCAACTACAGGGTATGGCACCAAGCCAAGTTTCTCCTGGTCGGCTCGCCAACAATACACAGTGAAACACATGGGTGCCAGTGTGAATTTTAATCATGAATGAATTGGAAACACTTTGCTCACAATAACTCAAGGATCTTGGGCTTGGGCAATGATTGGAGGTGAGAGGGTTTGTAATTGTTTTTGTTTGAACTGTTTGAACTGTTTTAACTGGGAAACAAGAGGTGGTCATTTATCTTAGATACAGTACAACTCTGAAGCAGTAGAGACATGGGCTAAAGCAGAGGGCAATCAAGTTTAGGAAAATTCCTCTCTAGAAAAAGGTGCTGGGGAATAGAGGGATGCCAATGCACTTGCTAAGGCTCACCGCCTTCGTAGGGCCATGTTGGGGGCCCGTAATGCTTGTAATGTAGAATGGATCTTTTCCTGCAGAGAACCCGAGACAAAATAGGCAATTCAGCACTAATTCGTTGACAAACAGTGCATTCGGAAAGTATTCAGACCCCTTGACTTTTTCCACATTAGTTACAGCTTTATTCTAAAATCGATTACATTGTTTTAAACAATATACCCCATAATGACAAAGCAAAAACAGGTTTACGAAATTTTTGCAAATGTATTAAAAATAAAAACGGAAATATCACATTTACATAAGTATTCAGACCCTTTACTCAGTACTTTGTTGAAGCACCTTTTGCAGCGATTACAGCCTCGAGTCTTCTTGGGTATGACGAAACAAGCTGTATCTGGGGAGTTTCTCCAATTCTTCTCTGCAGATCCTCTCAAGCTCTGTCAGGATGGATGGGGAGCATCGCTGCACAGCTATTTTCAGGTGTCTCCAGAGAATTTCAATTGTGTTCAAGTCCAGGCCACTCTCCCATAAAGGCCTGATTGGTGGAGTGCTGCAGAGATGGTTGTCGTTCTGGAAGGTTCTCCCATCTCCACAGAGGATCTCTGGAGCTCTGTCAGAGTGTTCATCGGGTTCTTGGTCACCTCCCTGACCAAGGCCCTTCTCCCCCGACTGCTCAGTTTGGCCTGGCGGCCAGCTCTAGGAAGAGTCTTGGTGGTTCCAAACTTCTTCCATTTAAGAATGATGGAGGTCACTGTGTTCTTGGGGATCTTCAACACTGCAGACATTTTTTGGTACCCTTCCCCAGATTTGTCCCTCGATACAATCCTGTCTCGGAGCTCTACGGACAATTCCTTTGACCTCATGGCTTGGTTTTCGCTCTGACATGCACTGTGAACTGTGGGATCTAATATAGACAGGTGTGTGCCTTTCCAAATAATGTCCAATCAATTGAATTTACCACAGGTGGACTCCAATCAAGTTGTAAAAACATCTCAAGGATGATCAATGGAAACAGGATGCACCTGAGCTCAATTTCGAGTGTCATAGCAAAGGGTCTGAATACTTATGTAAGTAAGCTATTTCTGTTTTTTATTTTTTTATAAATTATCAAAAATATTTTCTGAATGCCCTGTATTTTAGTGCATTCAGAGCATCTGCAATCCAAAATGCGTTCCCCCCTAAAAATACAGCACTGACATTAGCTGACATAAGAATGTCAGACATAGATGTACTTTTCTTCCTGATTGGATCTTTGTGACTCGTATGCTGCAGCATTCAAGGTATTTTGTAATCTAACAGCTAACATGGGATTTCTCATTGACCCATCATCTTTTGAGTTATTTACGTTTGATAAGAGTCTCGAGGCGTGTTCGGCGTTGGTTAAAGAAACAGTATCCCTTCTGATATATGCAGTAATAATTGTGCTGTGCTGCCAATAATTGCAGCACAGGAAGGCTAAATCGAGCTGTAAGTCTGAAAAGCATCTACTGGGGAATCACTTATTCTTTAGGGACTATAGTTCTGAAGGACCTACGGTGGATGGAGGTGTGGCTGGGGGAATGTCGACTGCTCCTCCGGGACTCTACTCTGGTGTGATTACTGCTGCTTGGGATGAAACAGAGTACTCATTACAGTATCTTGTCCATTAGTCCTTTAAAGTCCAGTAATGTGCCACATCATGTTATAAGCGTAGCTTGATGTACTACAGTACCCACAACAATCTAGTGACAAGGTCTTTCCATCACACTGATTCTGGAGGATCAATATACCATTTTTTCATCTTTACTGAAGCCATTGGGTAACTTGGCCTTCTGAGTCATTGTTTGGGTACTGGATATTACCAGATCATATTGTTGTTAGCGACTGAATCAGTCTTGTCAAACATAAGGCAGGTTGCAGCCTGTAGTGTAGACTGTAGCAGGCTGGGGGGCTGTCAGGGGGAGGGTTTGGTGTTTTATTGTGTGTCACTCCATCCCACTGAGGTCCTACCATGGTGCTTTTACTAATTACCCAACACTAGGGCCATGATTCAGAGGTGTGAAGTGTGTCTGTGCGAGTGAGCATTGACTCACCTACTCACTTCCGCTTCCCCCTCTACCCCCCCTCCTTCTCCAGCCTGTCTCGCTTGAGGATACATTTATTCTTGGGTTTTCATGTGACTGCTGACACATTCCCTCTGCTGACACAGTTATGAAAGTTGCAAAAGGCCTTTAACATCGGGGAGAGGAAACCCAGCAGGCAAAATATGTCCCATGACTTCTAGTTGTCTGAAGATATAACCAAATTACAACTGCTCTTTGTTAAAGATATATTTTTCATGACAAGATCAATACTTTATGGGAAATATATGATATTTTGGTTGTTATCTGGTCAGATAACCAGATTACAACCAGATGAAGACTCCCCCCCCCCCCCCGGTTGTTAAGAATATATTAACAAAATGTCCTTATACAACCAATATACAACATGACCATAACCATTATGGCATAACGTCATAAAATACGTCATATTGATGTAATTGCAACCAGTTTTGCCCGCTGGGCAGGGCCCAGACTTCCTTTTGAGTGTATTATAGCTCATGAACACTTTAAATATTCATTTTGGACCTGCATTCATTTGCATAATTATTAATGAAATCTCAACCTTCCTATGTCCTCGGCTTAGGGCTCGATTCAATCCGTGGAAGATCTGCATTGTAGCGCGGTTTAGATGTAAAGGTTATTTCCGATTGAGCCGACATATGCAGCGTTTACTGTGAATGCAGTCTCTGCGAACGCGGAAACATTGCCTTTAAATGTCAATTGCGCTATAACGCTGATCTTCTGCACTATGGATTGCATCATGTCCTTAGTTAGTTTGAAGTTTTGTTGACATTTGTCATATTAATAACGTGCAGAGATCCTGCCCAATTTCAGCTAAGATATACAGTATGTACATATTCTAATCATACAGTATATGTAAGAATAACAAAGCACCATGAGGCCTCCTATTTAATGTGAAAGGTGATTATTCTGTGGCAGAGAAAAGGGCAGATGATAAGAAGTGCTGGGACATGTGCCAACCTGCCAAGCTGCCAGGCTGCTGCTTTAGTGTCTTAGCCCAGAGGTACAGCCTATTGGACAGACAAGGCATTCCAGGGCAGTGCAGGGAAGAGCAGGGCTTCAGCCAGACTACTGGTTGGAGATGTATACGTATCTCCTCAGCATTCTCTGTCAGTTCTGTGGAGACGACAGTGATAGCCTCCTCCTGTGAAATCTCTGGAATAGTTTTTCCTCAGCTGTTTATGGGGGTAGGGAGTGACTTTGAGTATCCATCCACTACAGAATAAAGTCCCCCTGTGCCAAGTCATGTCTAGTACTTGTCTCTTGCTGCATTGCACAAGTGTCAATAACATAATGTAACAGTATAACCGTTTGCCAAGTTAGCTTGGCAGGCTTGCATACATTACTGCATGTGGTGTCAATGGGTCCTGACAATAAGTATGTGGCATGTATTGGTTAACTGAGAAGGCCCTCCACAAACAGATAAAGTTCAGCAGAGGAATGTACATGCAAGTACATTAGGAGAGAATGATTGTTATGAATAGGAGGTTACAGAAGCAATGCAGAGAAGCCATGTGGTTGAACATGGCTGAAAGAGCAATCAGATTATCAGATCGTTCATGCTTTAGGATATATTTTAAATTAATATTTCAGAGTCATCCTTGATGGTGTTGGCTGCTTCTGAGGAGATTATATTCATATTTTTTGGGGGAACTCATTCTGGGTGTTCTGAAGCAAAACCCATTCAGATAGAAATGCTGAACACCTTTTATTATTCTTGCATGCTGCTGCACTGCCCCAGTGCCAACTCTTCACCAGTCCTCTGATTCAGGATTTCCCCAACTCGGTCCTGGGGCCCCCCCTGGGTGCACGTTTTGGTTTTTGGCCTAGCATTACACAGCTGATTCAAATAACCAGCTCATCATCAAGCTTGGATTATTTGAATAAGCTGTGTAGTGCTAGGACTGAGTTTGGGAAACCCTGCTCTGATCCATGCAGGATTTTCATTTAAACGTAAATAATGAGCTGGGGAATAGGATGGGGCTCAGGGAAAGTAACACTGCCGCTATCTCGCTCTCCAACCAAGGTGAATGAATTGAGGAGCAAACTGAAGTGAAGAGGAAATTCAGCAAATCTTGGAGGAGAGTGGAAGTTGATAAAATGCATGTTTGTTGATAAAGGCCCAGTGCAGTCAAAAACGTGATTTTCCTATGTTTTATATATATTTCCACACTATGAGGTACAGTGGCTTGCGAAAGTATTCACCCCCCTTGGCATTTTTCTTATTTTGTTGCCTTACAACCTGGAATTAAAATGTTTTTTTTGGGGGTTTGTATCATTTGATTTATACAACATGCCTACCACTTTGAGTCTGCCTACCACACCAAAGTCAATACTTTGTAGAGCCACCTTTTGTAGCAATTACAGCTGCAAGTCTCTTGGGGTATGTCTCTATAAGCTTGGCACATCTAGCCACTGGGATATTTGCCCATTCTTCAAGGCAAAACTGCTCCAGCTCCTTGAAGTTGGATGGGTTCCGCTGGTGTACAGCAATCTTTAAGTCATACCACAGATTCTCAATTGGATTGAGGTCTGGGCTTTGACTAGGCCATTCCAAGACATTTAAATATTTCCCCTTAAACCACTCGAGTGTTGCTTTAGCAGTATGCTTAGGGTCATTGTCCGGCTGGAAGGTGAACCTCCGTCCCAGTCTCAAATCTCTGGAAGACTGAAACAGGTTTCCCTCAAGAATTTCCCTGTATTTAGCACCATCCATCATTCCTTCAATTCTGACCAGTTTCCCAGTCCCTACCGATGAAAATCATCCCCACAGCATGATGCTGCCACCACCATGTTTCACTGTGGGGATGGTGTTCTCGGGGTGATGAGAGGTGTTGGGTTTGCGCCAGACATAGCATTTTCCTTGATGGCCAAAAAGCTACATTTTAGTCTCATCTGACCAGAGTACCTTCTTCCATATGTTTGGGGAGTCTCCCACTTGCTTATTATTTTCTTTAAGCAATGGCTTTTTTCTGGCCACTCTTCCGTAAAGCCCAGCTCCGTGGAGTGTACGGCTTAAAGGGTTCCTACGGACAGATACTCCAATCTCCGCTGTGGAGCTTTGCAGCTCCTTCAGGGTTATCTTTGGTCTCTTTGTTGCCTCTCTGATTAATGCCCTCCTTGCCTGGTCCATGAGTTTTGGTGGGCTGCCCTTTCTTGGCAGGTTTGTTGTGGTGCCATATTCTTTCAATTTTTTTATAATGGATTTAATGGTGCTCCGTGGGATGTTCAAAGTTTCTGATATTTTTGTATAACCCAACCCTGATCTGTACTTCTCCACAACTTTGTCCCTGACCTGTTAGGAGAGCACCTTGGTCTTCATGGTGCCGCTTTCTTGGTGGTGTTTCAGACTCTGGGGCCTTTCAGAACAGGTGTGTGTATATATACTGAGATCATGTGACACTTAGATTGCACACAGGTGGACTTTATTTAACTAATTATGTGACTTCTGAAGGTAATTGGTTGCACCAGATGTTATTTACGGCCTTCATAGCAAAGGGGGTGAATAAATATGCACGCACCACTTTTCCGTTATTTATTTTTTAGAATTTTAAAAAACAAGTTATGTTTTTAATTTCACTTCACCAATTTGGACTATTTTGTGTATGTCCATTACATGAAATCCAAATAAAAATCCATTTAAATTACAGGTTGTAATGCAACATTTTTTTGAAAAACGCCAAGGGGGATGAATACTTTTGCAAGGCACTGTATATCATTAATTTATAAGTCAAAAGATTAATGTAGCAACTAAGGATTCTAGCTTTAAACATATTTTTACCAAATAAGTTGACTGAGAACCCATTCTCATTTACGGCAACAACCTGTTGTAGGGGAGAGGAGAGGGACTGAATGAATACCAAAGTCTTACCAAATAAAAATAAAAGCTATTTTAAAGTTTAGCGTGTCCAAAGAGTCAGAGTTGTTGCATTATATAAGGACGATACAAACAAAATGTGGGGCAGATGTAAAGTAGATGAATGCAGTAATGGTTCTTCAAACTTACCTATGATTAGACTCTCAGTTTGGAAAGTGGAGCTGATTGCATGTGTAACCAACCAGAGTTCAAACCCGGGTCTCCTGCGCATCCCAATAATGTGTTAGCCCGCTGTGCTAAAGCCAAGGCATTTGCTCAGAGAGTTAGCGCAAGTCTTAAGGTTTCGGGCAAGGTTAGTCATCACTCAAGCATGGTTTGCCGAGCCACCTCCGTTACACATGCACCCATCAACTATCAGCATGGTCTGTGATGATCAGATACAATCAGGTCCATCTGAAGCTCTCTCTCTGTACTCTACAACTGGACTGTCATGGCCTCTCCTCCTCTGCCCTTGTTTACTTGCCCTTCAACCGCCTCCACACACCTATCCCACCATCCCTCACACCCTGAGCTACTTCCTGTTGCTCACCACTCCGAAGCTCCATCTGGCGTGTCGGCTTCCTGCCGGGTAGACTGGCAGACAGGCGCAGAGTGTGAGGGCTGCTCAGGGCATCGTGGGCACCATGTGCCCCGCCCGCCCCATGGTACCTCTCTCACAGTGTGGCACTGTCATGATGATTCACCGTGCAGAGGCGTCATCAGCAGTAAGCTACACAGCAGTCATATGTTACGCAACTGGCTGCTTTATGAAATCACATTGGAAAGTTTGATGGATCCTTATGCGGAAGCCCCCCTGAGAATTCAGCTATTCAAAATGCAACTATAGGATAACTAATAGACAGACTCTCAAGAGACTCTATGCCACCAAACAATGCTGCAATTTTGTACACAACGCTAGCATCTTTATCCGTTTGATGTAGTCTATTTCTTATGATCTGTTGAACGTCTTTGTATGTGTGCCCAGCACTCTGTAGATGCAGTGAATGCTGGGGTCAGCCCGATAGGAGACACATCCTATAACTCCAGTCACTGGGACCTGGGCAGTGCCTTTTTCTTCGCTGGAACCGTCATCACAACCATAGGTAATGGTTTAAGTATTGGATTAGTATTACATACACCTGCTACTACATTGGTCACCATTATCGAAACTCCATTAAGGCCTATGTGATCTATCACATCTGTGGTTACATTCACTGTTACTTGTTATTCCTTACCATCCATTCAACCCTTTATTTATAATGGTCCTTTCAGGAATAGGCAATAGATTGTTCTCGCTGAAACAATGATAATAGTAGTGGCAATTCACCTTATTTAAACTGCGGCCATTGTTCATTGACCAACGTGAATTTCTTAAAGTTAAAGTTTTTTTTTTGCAGGGTAGGAAGTGAAGTGCTCCGTTGAAACCAATTTTAAAAAGCTTTCTTAAGTGTGACCTGTAGATTAAAACCACTGCATACCTACACGGTAAAATGATATTTGATTTGGGATACTCAGAAAAACATTGCTAGAGTATTGTCATTGTCATCGGCCATGATTTGAAAAGACGGGACCATTTATTAGCTACCCACGTTAGCTGGTAGAACGTTCAGCTGTGAATAGGGTCTATACCTGCAAACTGGTTTTTTATATAAGATAGATCTGGAATTGGTATGTGAGTATGAGTCATCTGTCAGATAAAATGTAGTGAGCTGCTCCACTCCTAGGAATAAGGGGGTGCTGAGAATGTGTTGTTGATGCACTACAGATGGCTATATCGGTCCGCTAATACAGGATTAGTAAAGGCCCAGTGCACTACTTTATTTTTTATTATTTTTTAATACTGTATATACAGTGGGGAGAACAAGTATTTGATACACTGCCGATTTTGCAGGTTTTCCTACTTACAAAGCATGTAGAGGCCTGTAATTTTTATCATAGGTACAATTCAACTGTGAGAGATGGAATCTAAAACAAAAATCCAGAAAATCACATTGTATGATCTTTAAGTAATTCATCTGCATTTTATTGCATGACATAAGTATTTGATCACCTACCAACCAGTAAGAATTCCGGCTCTCACAGACCTGTTAGTTTTTCTTTAAGAAGCCCTCATGTTCTCCACTCATTACCTGTATTAACTGCACCTGTTTGAACTCGTTACCTGTATAAAAGACACCTGTCCACACACTCAATCAAACAGACTCCAACCTCTCCACAATGGCCAAGACCAGAGAGCTGTGTAAAGACATCAGGGACACAATTGTAGACCTGCACAAGGCTGGGATGGGCTACAGGACAATAGGCAAGCAGCTTGATGAGAAGGCAACAACTGTTGGCGCAATTATTAGAAAATGGAAGAAGTTCAAGATGACGGTCAATCACCCTCGGTCTGGGGCTCTATGCAAGATCTCACCTCATGGGGCATCAATGATCATGAGGAAGGTGAGGGATCAGCCCAGAACTACACGGCAGGACCTGGTCAATGACCTGAAGAGAGCTGGGACCACAGTCTCAAAGAAAACCATTAGTAACACACTACGCCGTCATGGATTAAAATCCTGCAGCGCACGCAAGGTCCCCCTGCTCAAGCCAGCGCATGTCCAGGCCCGTCTGAAGTTTGCCAATGACCATCTTGATGATCCAGAGGAGGAATTGGAGAAGGTCATGTGGTCTGATGAGACAAAAATAGAGCTTTTTGGTCTAAACTCCACTCGCCGTGTTTGGAGAAAGAAGAAGGATGAGTACAACCCCAAGAACACCATCCCAACCGTGAAGCATGGAGGTGGAAACATCATTCTTTGGGGATGCTTTTCTGCAAAGGGGACAGGACGACTGCACCGTATGGAGGTGAGGATGGATGGGGCCATGTATCGCGAGATCTTGGCCAACAACCTCCTTCCCTCAGTAAGAGCATTGAAGATGGGTCGTGGCTGGGTCTTCCAGCATGACAACGACCCGAAACACACAGCCAGGGCAACTAAGGAGTGGCTCCGTAAGAAGCATCTCAAGGTCCTGGAGTGGCCTAGCCAGTCTCCAGACCTGAACCCAATAGAACATATTTGGAGGGAGCTGAAAGTTCGTATTGCCCAGCGACAGCCCCGAAACCTGAAGCATCTGGAGAATGTCTGTATGGAGGAGTGGGCCAAAATCCCTGCTGCAGTGTGTGCAAACCTGGTCAAGACCTACAGGAAACGTATGATCTCTGTAATTGCAAACAAAGGTTTCTGTACCAAATATTAAGTTCTGCTTTTCTAATGTATCAAATACTTATGTCATGCAATAAAATGCACATTAATTACTTTAAAATCATACAATGTGATTTTCTGGATTTTTTTAGATTCCGTCTCTCACAGTTGAAGTGTACCTATGATAAAAATGACAGACCTCTACATGCTTTGTAAGTAGGAAAACCTGCAAAATCGGCAGTGTATCAAATACTTGTTCTCCCCACTGTATATGTTTTCTTCAGATTTTTCAGGAGGTGCTGCAGCACCCTCAGCACCCCTACTTTCCACAGCTATGGTCGTTACCAGGCAGTGTAGGTGTAGTTCAAGTCAAGTGCAAGGGCTGATGAAACATTCTGACATTTCACCTGAGGTAATGTTGTTTACATAGACTAGAGACAATCAAGACGTTAGGAGCCAGTTTCCCAGACCCAAACTAAAAAGCATGTTAATGGACAATATCTATTGAAAGTGCTTTTTAGTCCAGCAATTTGTTTTATTAATCTGTGTCTGGGAAACTGGCCTTATAGGTTCTGTGTTGCTCTGGCTCTGTGTTATCTGTGTGGAAATCACAGCATCAATCATAGCATTGTCTTCAAAAGAACCTTCCAAACCATTAGCACCCCTGACTACTGGATGTCTTCAGTTTGATGGATGGCGGACAGAAGCTTTTTCCACTGCAAGCAGTGGAAAAAAGGGACAGAAGCTTAGCTAGCAGACAGTATGTTAGCCTTTTGTAGATAGCAGGATGTGTGTAAGTCTATGGAGGAGAGGAGATGGAATTGCTATCCCACTGTGGTTGTGTCTGCCATTGATAGGAAAGAGGTCTCATCACATCCAGAAAACATGCCCTTCTCTTTCTCTGTCCTTCCACAGGGTATGGTAACATTGCTCCCAGCACTGAGGGAGGGAAGATTTTCTGTATCCTATATGCAATATTTGGCATCCCTCTGTTTGGGTTCCTACTAGCCGGTGTGGGGGACCAGCTAGGGACCATATTCGTGAAAAGCATCGCCAAGGTGGAGAAAATGTTCAGGGTAAGTTCACAGCATACGGTAATCCACAACAATATGACAAATATAAACAATAAGTACAGTGAGGGAAAAAAGTATTTGATCCCCTGCTGATTTTGTACGTTTGCCCACTGACAAAGAAATGATCAGTCTATAATTTTAATGGTACGTTTATTTGAACAGTGAGAGACAGAATAACAACAAAAAAATCCAGAAAAATGCATATCAAAAATGTTATAAATTTATTTGCATTTTAATGAGGGAAATAAGTATTTGACCCCCTCTCAATCAGAAAGATTTCTGGCTCCCAGGTGTCTTTTATACAGGTAACGAGCTGAGATTAGGAGCACACTCTTAAAGGGAGTGCTCCTAATCTCAGTTTGTTACCTGTATAAAAGACACCTGTACCACAGAAGCAATCCATCAATCAGATTCCAAACTCTCCACCATGGCCAAGACCAAAGAGCTCTCCAAGGATGTCAGGGACAAGATTGTAGACCTACACAAGGCTGGAATGGGCTACAAGACCATCGCCAAGCAGCTTGGTGAGAAGGTGACAACAGTTGGTGCGATTATTCGCAAATGGAAGAAACACAAAATAACTGTCAATCTCCCTCGGCCTGGGGCTCCATGCAAGATCTCACCTCGTGGAGTCGCAATGATCATGAGAACAGTGAGGAATCAGCCCAGAACTACACGGGAGGATCTTGTCAATGATCTCAAGGCAGCTGGGACCATAGTCACCAAGGAAACAATTGGTAACACACTACGCCGTGAAGGACTGAAATCCTGCAGCGCCCGCAAGGTCCCCCTGCTCAAGAAAGCACATATACATGCCTGTCTGAAGTTTGCCAATGAACATCTGAATGATTCAGAGGAGAACTGGGTGAAAGTGATGTGGTCAGATGAGACCAAAATGGAGCTCTTTGGCATCAACTCAACTCGCTGTGTTTGGAGGAGGAAGATTGCTGCCTATGACCCCAAGAACACCATCCCCACCGTCAAACATGGAGGTGGAAACATTATGCTTTGGGGGTCTTTTTCTGCTAAGGGGACAGGACAACTTCACCGCATCAAAGGGACGATGGACGGGGCCATGTACCGTCAAATCTTGGGTGAGAACCTCCTTCCCTCAGCCAGGGCATTGAAAATGGGTCGTGGATGGGTATTCCAGCATGACAATGACCCAAAACACACGGCCAAGGCAACAAAGGAGTGGCTCAAGCAGATGCACATGAAGGTCCTGGAGTGGCCTAGCCAGTCTCCAGACCTTAATCCCATAGAACATCTGCGGAGGGAGCTGAATGTTCGAGTTGCCAAACGTCAGCCTCGAAACCTTAATGACTTGGAGAAGATCTGCAAAGAGGAGTGGGACAAAATCCCTCCAGAGATGTGTGCAAACCTGATGGCCAACTACAAGAAACGTCTGACCTCTGTGATTGCCAACAAGGGTTTTGCCACCAAGTACTAAGTCATGTTTTGCAGAGGGGTCAAATACTTATTTCCCTCATTAAAATGCAAATCAATTTATAAAAATTTTGACATGCGTTTTTCTGGATTTTGTTGTTGTTATTCTGTCTCTCACTGTTCAAATAAACGCACCATTAAATTATAGACTGATCATTTCTTTGTCAGTGGGCAAACGTACAAAATCAGCAGGGGATCAAATACCTTTTTCCCTCACTGTATGTTTTAATGTTCTATGACAATAGTTATGAATGATTGTTTCTATCATCAAAAGTACTTTTAAATGTGAGGTATTGATAGGCTAGAGAGTAGACCTGGGTTTTCTCCCAGTTGAAAGCAGTGGTGTAGCCAGAAATGATTTGTTGGGTGGGCCTGCAGCAGCTAACTTCCTGCAATTTTACATATTTAACCATGGGGCAAAGAGAAAAACATGTAGTTTTAAAGCTAATCTTATGCTGTTCTACACATTTTCCCATCAGGCTGAGAGAAAATGTTGCTGTTTTCAAGCAAATGTCCTCCAATCCTACACATTTTGCTATGGGGCAGAGAGAAAATGTAGCGTTTTTAATGCTCATTAAAGCTGACATATACAGCTCTGGAAAAAATTAAGAGACCACTGCAAAATTATCAATTTCTCTGGTTTTACTATTTATAGGTATGTATTTGGGTAAAAATAACATTTTTGTTTTATTCTATAAACTACTGACAACATTTCTCCCAAATTCCAAATAAAAAGATTGTCATTTAGAGCATTTATTTGCAGAAAATGACAACTGGTCAAAATAACAGAAAATATGCAATGTTGTCAGACCTCGAATAATGCAAAGAAAATAAGTTCATGTTCAAACAACACAATACTAATGTTTTAACTTAGGAAGAGTTCATAAATCAATATGTGGTGGAATAACCCTGAATTTCAATCACAGCCTTCATGCGTCTTGGCATGCTCTCCACCAGTCTTTCACATTGATGTTGGGTGATTTTATGCCACTCCTGGCGTAAAAATTCAAGCAGCTCGGCTTTGTTTGATGGCTTGTGACCATCCATCTTCCTCTTGATCACATTCCAGAAGTTTTCAATGGGGTTCAGGTCTGGAGATTGGGCTGGCCATGACAGGGTCTTGATCTGGTGGTCCTCCATCCTCACCTTGGTTGTCCTGGCTGTGTGGCATGTTGCATTGTCCTGCTGGAAAAACCAATCCTCAGAGTTGGGGAACAATGTCAGAGCAAAAGGAAGCAAGTTTTCTTCCAGGACAACCTTGTACATGGCTTGATTCATGCGTCCTTCACAAAGACAAATCTGCCCGATTGCAGCCTTGCTGAAGCAACCCCAGATCATCACCGATCCTCCACCAAATTTCACAGTGGGTGCGAGACACTGTGGCTTGTAGGCCTCTCCAGGTCTCCGTCTAACCATTAGACGACCAGGTGTTGGGCAAAGCTGAAAATTGGACTCATCAGAGAAGATGACCTTACTCCAGTCCTCTACGGTCCAATCCTGATGGTCTTTTGCAAACCTCAGCCTGGCTCTTCTTTGCTTCTCATTGATGAAGGGCTTTTTTCTAGCTTTGCACAACTTCAGCCCTGCCCCTAGGAGCCTGTTTCGAACCGTCCTTGCTATGCACTTCACCCCAGCTGCCGTTTGCCATTCTTTTTGTAGGTCACTTGAAGTCATCCTACGGTTGTTGAGTGACATTCAAATGAGTTGGCGGTCATCCCGGTCAGTAGAGAGTAGTTTTCGCCCTCTGCCGGTCTGTAGCTTTGTTGTCCCCAATGTCTGCTGCTTGACCTTGTTCTTATGAACCGCCGTCATTGATATTTTAAGGATGGAAGCAACCTGACGCTCACTGTATCCCTCTGCCAGTAAAGCCAGAACTGAACCCTTCTTTTCTTCACTCAAAACATTTGGCATGGTCAATAGTTATTTTTTGATTAATATTACTTTAGAGGTACTATTAACACTGTTTTTGCCATCCAGCTGGTCCTATTGCAAGAGGATAGTGATGACCAGAGCAGTGGTTTTTATACTTTTCCTTGTTAAATAAGATTTGGTTCAGGTGATCACCTAATCAGTACCTAATTCAGTAGAATGAGGTGTGCCTGTGTTGGAATTCAACAGACACTGGAATGGAATGGCTGCTATACAGTGAGGGAAAAAATTATTTGATCCCATTTACATTTACATTAACGTCATTTAGCAGACGCTCTTATCCAGAGCGACTTACAAATAGGTGCATTCACCTTATAGCCAGTGGGATCACCACTTCACAATGTTTTTTTGTTTTGTTTATTTATTAATTTTTTGGGGTTGGGGTTTGGGTTGGGGTAAGGGGGGGGGGGGGGGGGGGGGGGGGGGGTAGAATGATTACTTTATCCTATCCCAGGTATTCCTTAAAGAGGTTGGGTTTCAAATGTCTCCGGAAGGTGGTGAGTGACTCCGCTGTCCTGGCGTCGTGAGGGAGCTTGTTCCACCATTGGGGTGCCAGAGCAGCGAACAGTTTTGACTGGGCTGAGCGGGAACTATGCTTCCGCAGAGGTAGGGAAGCCAGCAGGCCAGAGGTGGATGAACGCAATGCCCTCGTTTGGGTGTAGGGACTGATCAGAGCCTGAAGGTACGGAGGTGCCGTTTCCCTCACAGCTCCGTAGGCAAGCACCATGGTCTTGTAGCAGATGCGAGCTTCAACTGGAAGCCAGTGGAGTGTGCGGAGGAGCGGGGTGACGTGAGAGAACTTGGGAAGGTTGAACACCAGACGGGCTGCGGCATTCTGGATGAGTTGTAGGGGTTTAATGGCACAGGCAGGGAGCCCAGCCAACAGCGAGTTGCAGTAATCCAGACGGGAGATGACAAGTGCCTGGATTAGGACCTGTGCCGCTTCCTGTGTAAGGCAGGGTCGTACTCTCCGAATGTTGTAGACCATGAACCTACAGGATCGGGTCACCGCCTTGATGTTAGCAGAGAACGACAGGGTGTTGTCCAGGGTCACGCCAAGGCTCTTCGCACTCTGGGAGGAGGACACAACGGAGTTGTCAACCGTGATGGCGAGATCATGGAACAGGCAGTCCTTCCCCGGGAGGAAGAGCAGCTCCGTCTTGCCAAGGTTCAGCTTGAGGTGGTGATCCGTCATCCATACTGATATGTCTGCCAGACATGCAGAGATGCGATTCGCCACCTGGTTATGCTGATTTTGTACGTTTTCCCACTGACAAAGAAATGATCAGTCTATAATTTTAATGGTAGGTTTATTTGAACAGTGAGAGACAGAATAACAACAACAAAATCCACAAGAACGCATGTCAAAAATGTTATGAATTAATTTGCATTTTAATGAGGGAAATAAGTATTTGACCCCTCTGGCAACTCGAACCTTCAGGTCCTCAACAGATTTTCTATGGGATTTTTGACATGCGTTTTTCTGGATATTTTTTTTGTTATTCTGTCTCTCACTGTTCAAATAAACCTACCATTAAAATTATAGACTGATTATGTCTTTGTCAGTAGGCAAACGTACAAAATCAGCAGGGGATCAAATACTTTTTTTCCCTCACTGTACGTGTAGAGATGCTGATTTAAGAAACATTTGCAGTGGTCTCTTAATTTATTCCAGAGCTGTAGATGTGTTGACTGTGATAAAGGCACTGGATTATGAGCTGTCTTGTGTGCTAAATGAACAAATGAAGTAGGCAGTGGCATGGTGCATATACCCATAGAAGCACAGTGACATATGCCTCAATGCAGTCATATTTGTGGCTTATTGGGGGTGTGGCTTTCAGTTAGTTATTCTTGGCAACCCATCATGTGAGAGTGAATGTCATTCCAGTTCATCTGTTCTGTTATATTTCATCAAATCTGACTAACCCAGTGCACTGCTTGCTATGAATTATATCTGATGGTGTTTGCATGTTTAGGTAAAAATACATAATGTCGCGTTTGGAACATTGATATGTAAAGAGCATAAAAAATTAATGATAATAAAACCATTTTTTTCTCAATCTGATTGGGTGGGCCTGGCTCCCCACCCGTCCCTATGCACCAGGTTGAAAGTAAAAGTGTTCTGTACTGAGTGAGGTGTTATCATCTACTAATGATGTGTTTACATTATGGGTTGTTAATGAGCAGGGGGCGATGGCTGTCGTGCTTTATTCTGATTGGCCCAACAGTTACCCTCCGCTCTGTTCTGGCCTTTTGGGTATTATAGTGTAATAATAATAAATTAGTGTAGCAGTCAAACAGGAACACCTACGGTGAGAGCTGTACTGAGTGAGCTGTGCCTCTGTGACAGCCCACAGTCACAACCACCATTACGCCTCGTTTGAGCTAATCATGAATCTTATGCATATTTAGCTCATCACCAGGCAGTATCAATGTGTATAAATACTGTAGAAACCACCTTGTCAGAGTCACAACTGTCATCACTCGAACGCAGTAGGGATGCCACCACAGAATGGCCTTGGCCTTATGGCCTCCATAACTCACACTGTGTGTGTGTGTGTGTGTGTGTGTGTGTGTCTGTGCCTGTTCGTCTGTGTGTGTGTGTGTGCGCTGTGTTTGTTTGTGTGTGTGTATATGTGTGTGTCTTCTTCTCCTCTCCCAGCATAAACAGAACCAGATCAGCCAGACCAAGATCCGAGTGGCCTCCACGTTACTCTTCATCCTGGCGGGTTGTATCCTCTTCGTCACCATCCCAGCTGTCATCTTCAAACACATAGAAGGCTGGACGGGACTGGAGGCCATCTACTTTGTTGTCATCACTCTGACAACTATTGGAATAGGAGACTATGTGGCAGGTGAGAGCTAGATTAATTATTAGTTCATGTTCAGTATAAAAATGTATGCACTCACTAACTGTAAGTCGCTCTGGATAAGAGCGTCTGCTAAATGACTAAAATGTAAATGTAATGTTTCTGTTGTGAATAATGCCATAATGAGATGATTATCTGAAAATGATTCTGACTAAATAACAGCCATGTTGAGTCAGTTTTCTACACTAAGACATCATAAAGGCTCATACAGTACATAATAACAACTAATACATCGTTTTAATGAATGTGTTACCAAAATTGTTATTATAACAACTGTTGCGGCCATTCATTTTGCTTCAAAATCTATTATGGTTGGAGGCGATGGCGTCATGCACCCCCAAAATCTGAGGGGGCACAAAGTACATGAGGATGGCTGCGGGGTGGTTGGAGAATTTAGCATTTTTCAAACACCTGAAACAGCGATTTCCTGCAATCTAGATCCATAATAATTATTCTTAATTCTATATATAAAATATGCATATTTTTCTGCATATTTAAGCATACCTCTTGAGCTGTCTGTATCCTCCTGGTGATTCTTTTTATAAATAAACTAAATATGCTTCTTTGGATCTCTGCAAAAATCTGGGTAAAATAATGTGTCTTATTCAGTACATTTAGTTATTGCTTGCTTTTCTAAAGTCTATCAACCTTGCCAGCAGGCATGCCAGCTAAGATAATTAGACAAGCTAGCTACTCTAACTTGATTGATAGCTTGAAATGGCTTCTTGGTAGCTAGTTATGAGGTTGGGAGATTGTGAACCTATTGGGATGCTAGCTAAAGCCAACTTCATAACATTGCTAGGTGGCTAGTAGTACTACAGACAAAAATCAACACAATAGTTATTTTTTAAACAGGACAAATCTGAGGGAGCAATTGCCCCTCTGCCCCCTATTGGCATGACACTACTGTTTGGAGGAGCTACTATTCAAACGTTTTCCTACCACAACTTGGCAACTTGTGCTGTGCCATTATTACTACGGCTCAATATTGATCATTAACGGAGGTGTCTTTATGGGCGTGGAAGGTGCTGATAATGTGAAATGCAGTTTGTTTATTGTCTTAGTGAATTGAAGTCCATTAGGAGGCTCTCATAGCTTGATCTCACTGACCGAGCTGCTGCCACACTGCACTGATGATTTATTTCCCAATCACTCTTTGACACACAAGCACTTGTCTGAGAAATTTAGCTTTGTTCGTTTCTGTTCTCTGGATTTTAGCCCATCAGCTTAAGATATTCAGGTAGAAAATGTGCCAATAGAATCAGTGTATATCAGGGTCATGTTTAATAGTCACCAAACGGAAGAAAATGGACTGATACAGGGAGGGATTACCTGCACTTATCCAATAAGAAACACACATCTTTGTTAACAGTTTAAAAATGTTTTGCTATGGTTAGCCCTTCTGAACACGACCCATGTCTCTCATCATGCTGAATGTTTCATTGTTTCTTTACATCCTATAGGAGGGGACCGGAGGGTCGAGTATCGTAATTGGTATAGACCACTGGTGTGGTTCTGGATTCTGGTGGGGTTGGCCTATTTCGCTGCTGTACTGAGCATGATCGGTGACTGGCTGAGGGTCCTGTCCAAGAAGACAAAAGAGGAGGTAAGATTCTTTACGTGTGGGTGGCATTATATGACCATACTACTACGGTATAGAGCTGTAATGGTGTAGTTGAACACTACATGGGCTTAGCAGTTTCTCAAGTATCCCATTAGAAGAACATTAAAGGATTAAAATAGACATTCAAATTGTTAAACCATGAAAATAGTTGTTGTTTAATTTCTAACCTCGAAAGGAGAGACTGCAATCTACGCTTTCGTTTTGTTTACCTACTGTAGCTACTGCCACCAATTATGTAATTTGATTAACTATCCAATTCTCATGCGTTATAGTATTTTATGGTGTGGAATTCCCTTGGTTTTATCTTTCCGTGCTCCAGGTCGGAGAGATCAAGGCCCACGCGGCCGAGTGGAAGGCCAACGTCCGCGCCGAGTTCCGGGAGACGCGGCGGCGCCTGAGTGTGGAGGTCAGCGACAAGCTCCAGCGGACCGCCACCATCCGCAGCATGGAGCGCCGTCAGCTGGGCCTGGACCAGTGGGCCGTCTCCATGGACATGCTCTCCCCGGAACGCCGTGCTGCCTTCAACAGCCTGGACACTAACCCCTACAAGACCTCGTCTCAGGAGAGCATCGACACGAAACTCAACAACCTGCGTCTAAGGGGGGCAGAGTGTGATCCGCGCCGGTCCGACAGTGTGGCCTCCTCTGACGACAACATCTTTAATCGCCTGGGTTCCGTCACCAAGCTGGCCAAGAGGAACAAGAACCGCGAGCTGAAGAAGAATATCCCAGATGAGCTACAATGCAGGCCCTATAGTACTCCACCTATGGAGATGGGGAAGAGGAAGGAGGAAGAGGAGGAGGAGGAGGAGGAAGAAGAGGAGGGGTTAGACAAAAAGTTCAACACCAGCCTGTCCGATCTGCCGCTGTTCGTTGAAGTGTGCAAGCCCCAGAATGGTTTCACAGTACCATTCATACCACTACAGACCAAAGAAAAAAATACTGAGGGGGAAACACTTGAACTTGAAGAAAAGGAGCTGCGTATCAAGATGGATCCTTAAAAATGTTGATTGTTCTTCTGTGGTAAAGGAGGTTTTAAACCTCACCACCGTATGTGCCTTACATCTCTCTCACTCCTTTGTGTGCTTGATATTGGGGGAACTGTTGTGTCCCTGTGTGCTATGTAATGTTATTCAATATTCACTGTGCCCTAATAACCTGAAGAAAATACATTGACATCATACGTTTCTACAATCACCTGGTAAAAGATTGAGATTGGAGGTTCTTGTGGTACAGAACAACGAAAATGATGGAGTTTGTTTTGAGTGAACGGGAAGATGGCTGCTATTCAGAAGAGTCGATAATAAAGCAAGTAAGATGCTTTGATGTCTCTTTGGGGGGGGGGGGGGGGGGGGGGGTCTATGACTTTAATGCACGTGGTGGACTTTCGACGAGACGGTGCTGGTCCTAAATAAAATATCTGAAGTCATTTTAGGACAAAAGAACTGAGCTGCTGAGAATAGAGCAACAATGGAATAAAAAAAACAACAACTGGAGAGTCACCCGGATTTGGTTATTGTGAAATGTACGACCTTGTTCTCATTCCATCACAACACAAACTCTGAAAATTGATGGAAAAAGTTATAAAAAAACAACCATAATGTTGTCTGTGCATGGTCCTAGAGCTAAACTGTTTAAAAAGTGTGTGATTATGCTATTTAGTTCATGAACTTTCTTTAACACAATCTCAGGGCTTGTGGTCCTAATGTTGTCGTTGAAATGTGTCTAAAGTATACTGCATTCACACTTTGTAGCATTAGAGGAGCTTTGTTTGCACTTAGAATTGCTTTCTGAAGATGACAGCTTATGACAATGGAACGGAAGGTAAGCCATAATGCAGGAAGGAAAAATGTCCCTAATTGCTTAGACAGGATACTGTCAAATTTGAGAATTTGGGAGACTGAGGTTTTTTGGAGAAAATGTATATGATACATCGATACAATGATTTGCTTGAATACAGTGTGTTACTGTTAGCTGACATCTTTGTTATACTTGTGTACCATGTAACGTCTATGAAGTACATTTATATGTTCATATTACAGAGGAGAGATGGTGACACTGAGAACGTGCATGAGTCAAATGTACACTTTGTATCTTGATTGTGGGTTACTAATTATATTACAACAATGTCATTACAAACCCTTTAAGGTGCATGGGTTAAATAACAATACCTCTCTTTGTATCTCTCACTCTCTCTCTCTCTCTCTCTCTCTCGCACACACGCAAGAAATGCAACATTCAAAGCATAAATAAGATATAGAACTAAAAAGCATGATATTTTACATATACATTATCATGCTATTTGGTATTGGTTGTATACCACGATGCTTAGCATAGCGTTTTCTAACTGCCCATGTTGAGGTAGCATGGGCAACACCTGCTCAATATTTGGACGTTGTTCACAGTATTACTTGTGCCACCTTTACATTAAATGTAGTGAGTGCCTTTTGGAAATAAATATCACTGCTATTGGAAGTTGCTTTTTTCCCCTCTGAGTGCAGAGTTATTGTGTTGCCAACATCTCTGTTTCTCAGTCTCTATCTTATCAGAGGTTTTCATCAAGCCGGAAAAAGGATGTTTCCAGCCATGTATCGCTTTCGCTCTCATTGGCAATGACCTTGTTGACACTGAAACAAACCATACACTTTTGCAGCCATTTATATCTGTGTCTGTCTCAAGACACCGTCTGTTTCACCTCCAGGGCTGTTTCCTGCTGTAAAACCCTGTATAGACACTTTAAAAAATATAAAATCCACACTCTTTTATAATGATCAACACCTTCTGTCCCAGTTAGAAGATGGGATTATTCATCTAAAACTAGAGGATAGAGTACTGTAGAATAGCGTCTTCGAAGGTAAAAATTGTGCTAGAAAAAGTAAAACACCAGACTACATTATTCTTGATTGATAGATTTTATTTTGCCAGTTAAAAAAACATATACACACAGTACATACATTTTGTAAGCATGACAGGGACAACACAAAGTCAGACTTATTTCCATTGTGGTCTCTAAAAATAAAATGTAATTACAAGAACAGTCTCAAAGATTCTTTAAAAGAGCAAAAACAAGAATCAAGTAAATTGATAGTTCATGGGCTGCATGGACAAAGATCTTCCACAGAGGTGATTCGGACTCGGACTGTCTCCACTATCTGAGCGCACAGTCATCCGCCTCACAGTCATCTGTGCCTGCTGACAGATGAAGCAGGCTTGAGCAGGGGGGTGGGTGGTCACCTCCAGCAGGGGGGAAAGACAGGAGGAAAGGTCAGGAGCAGTTGTTCAGGGCACCCCATCACCAGTCGCTCTCTGTAGACTCCGTGATAAACCACTCCTAAAACGTTGTGTAGCACCCACATTGGTGATGGAAATCGCTACTCCAGCGTCAGAAGCTTACTGCACATCAATAACAGGACAAGTCCACCTTGGAGTAATCACTTTAGAGATCACATCACTTTCGACATTCATCTGCCATCTCCAAGCCTCTGACTGCCACTTATTCTTATTCCAAATAAAAACAACAGCTAGCTAGCTGATAGCTAGCCTTTCAGCTGTTTTAGCGAACCAACTGGCTTGCAGGTTGTGGATCGATATATATACAGTACCAGTCAAAGGTTTGGACACCCCTACTCATTCCAGGATTTGTATAAATGTTTTACTATTTTCTACATTGGAGAGTAATAGTGAAGACATCAAAACTATGAAATAACAAATATGGAAACATGTAGTAACCAAAAAAGTGTTAAACAAATCAAAACATATTTTATATTTGAGTTTCTTCAAAGTAGCCACCATTTGCCTTGATGACAGCTTTCCACACTCTTGGCATTCTCTCAACCAGTTTCATGAGGTAATCATATGGAATACATTTCAATTAACAGGGGTGCCTTGTTAAAAGTTAATTTGTGGAATTTATTTCCTTCTTAATGCATTTGAGCCAATCAGTTGTGTTGTGACAAGGTAGGGTGGTATACAGAAGATAGCCCTATTTGGTAAAATACCAAGTCCATGTTGTGGCAAGAATAGCTCAAATAAGCAGAGAGAAATTTTTTATTTTAAGACGTGAAGGTCAGTCAATCTGGAAAATTTCAAGAATTTTGAAAGTTTCTTCAAGTGCAGTCGCCAAAGCCATCAAGCACTATGATGAAACTGTCTCTCATGAGGACCACCACAGGAAAGGAAGACCCAAAGTTACCTCTGCTGCAGAGGATAAGTTCATTAGAGTTACCAGCCTCAGAAATTTCAGCCCAAATAAATGCTTCACACTCAAAAATGAGCTTCAAAAGATGTTCAGTCAATGAAGCCTTAACACAAATTCTGGACTGTGAACGTAAAATAGAAGAAGAGGTTTCAGAGACAGAGGACATTTCAGAGATAGAGGACAATGCTGTTGATGATCCAGATTGTGATTTTTCTTTGGTGAAGAGGATTCAGCATGTTTAAACTGTGCGGGTCAATCTGACCTATACCACAATGGACGTAATTATTTTTCAGCAAAGCACCAGGGCTAAACAACACCAATAATAAGAAGAGACTTGCTTGGTCCAAGAAACACGAGCAATGGACATTAGACCAGTGGAAATCTGTCCTTTGGTCTGATGAGTCCAAATGTGAAATTCTTGGATCCAACTGCTGTGTCTTTGTGAGACGCAGAGTAGGTGAATGGATGATCTCTGCATGTGTGGTTCCCACCATGAAGCATGGAGGAGGAGGTGTGATGGTGTGGGGGGTGCTTTGCTGGTGACACTGTCGGTGATTTATTTAGAATTCAAGGCACACTTAATCAGTACGGCTACCACAGCATTCTGCAGCAATACGCCATCCCATCTGGTTTGCGCTTAGTGGGACTATCATTTGTTTTTCAACAGGACAATGACCCAACACACCTCCAGGCTGTGTAAGGGCTATTTGACCAAGAAGGAGAGTGATGAGTGCTGCATCAGATTACCTGGCCTCCACAATCACCCGACCTCAACCCAGTTGAGATGGTTTGGGATGAGTTGGACAGCAGAGTGAAGGAAAAGCAGCCAACAACTGCTCAGCACATGTGGGAACTCCTTCAAGACTGTTGGAAAAGCATTCCAGGTGAAGCTGGTTGAGAGAATGCCAATTGTGTGCAAAGCTGTCATCAAGGCAAAGGGTGACGACTTTGAATAATCTAAAATCTAAAATATATTTTGATTTGTTTAACACGTTTTTGGTTACTACATGATTCCATGTGTGTTATTTCTTAGTTTTGATGTCTTCACTATTATTCAACAATGTAGAAAATAGTAAAAATAAAGAAAAACCCTTGAATGAGTAGGTGTGTCCAAACTTTTGACTGGTACTGTATATGAAATCAATACTTTAGATAAAATCAAAAGTTAATTTATTTTTTTAATATATTTTTTAAAACTTTAAAACAACAAAATATTTACAAATTTACAGGAGCTCTCTGCTTATGCTGCTACTATGGCACCATTGCAACTACGTTATTATGTCTTAAAGTAACTGTCCAGTGTTTCCAGATGTATTTGAAATATGACCTGTAATAGTTTTCCTTCCAATGTTTAAAAAAAGTTTGTAAGTAAGCATTACACTGTATTCGGTGCATGTGACAAATACAATTTGATTTGATTTAAAAAAATGTTTTGCTTGCCTGATAGTGGTCAGGCAGATCAACTCATATACAGCTTGAGTGGGCAAATTAAGATGCATTTAAAAGTGACATTCTTAAAAAAATGTATGGGTATATATTTGAAAGATCGAAAAGGGATGTAACTATCTCAGTTGGTCTTCAGGGCATATAGGGTTGAAATTAACACATATTCAAGATGTGATAGGAGTTTTTGTACCCATTTCAGACAGATCTCACACTGGCAATTCTCAAAGACACACATCCTCCTATGTCTATCCCAATCAACAGTTACAGAACTGTGGTAACACCAACACTGTTTCAAGAACATCACATTTACTGAACTTCAGCTTTTTTCCTGTGAAGTAAATGGTTGCTAGAAATAGG